AAAAACTTGTTGCATCATTCCCAAAAAGACTCATGGCTGTATTAGCTCCAAAGGGTGCTTCTACTAAATACTCAGCAAAGGGTCTGAATACTTTCCGTACCCACTGTATGTACTTTATCACTACACCACCATTTCTTTTCCCTGAGTCATCACCTGTAAATCGCGCCTTCTTCAGTAAACCCTAATTCCCTTTTTTAAACACTGAATCACCGTTTGTATCTGTCTCGCTGTCTGTCGGCTCTGTGCCTTTGTATCTCCACCTCTTTCTGTGTCTTTGCATCTTGTCTTTCTGTGTCTGTATCTCATCTCTCTCTGTGTCTCAGCTGACGGGAAGAGTTTGGTCTCGGTGGGAATCGATGAATTTCACTCCATCGTCATCTGGGACTGGAAGAAAGGAGAGAAACTGGCCAAGGCCAGGTGCACACACCTGAATATCACCTGACTAATATGCACACACACACCGGACAACAACCTGTCCGCCTTTGTTACAGACTCGTCAAGCTCACAGATGTTGTTTTCTGATCACCGTGTTCACGTTTACCCACGTCTGCTAAATGTACACATCTGCCTGATGTTTGGAGTAAACTTTGTATCGGATGTTTTGGGCCTGTTGACTGACAGAATTTCTTTAGGTTATTTTGTGGCTTTGTTGGTCTTTAAAATCTCAGTAAAAATCACTGTGGGTATGTGATGAAGGCACCGGTCAGACAGACTTGGTATAACGTGTACAGTTCATTCAGTCACAGAAGAACTGCATCATACAGTCTAAAACTCATCCTGAGTATCGATCTCAAACGTTTGACTGAAAGCCGTTCTTGGTCCTGCAGGGGTCATAAAGATAAAATCTTTGTGGTGAAGAGTAATCCCTTCAGGATGGACAAACTGGTGACTGTGGGCATGAAGCACATCAAGTTCTGGCAGCATTCAGGTATGCTCTGTCTTCACCTGACACACACCTGAAACGCAGCTTGCTGTCAGGTGTGGTGTTGCTGAAAGCTGAATACTTTTGGAAGCGTTTCCCCCTGCTTTCAGTCTTTTCAAACATTCTGCCTCATCCTGCAGGTGGCGGTCTGACCTTTAAGCGGGGCATTTTCGGGAACCTGGGGAAGCAGGAGACGATGATGTCAGTGTCTTACGGCCAATCGGAGGACCTGGTTTTTTCTGGCGCCACAAATGGCGACGTTTACATCTGGAAGGACACAACGCTTATCAAGACTGTGAAAGCCCACGACGGCCCCGTGTTTGCCATGTGCTCCCTGGACAAGGTCCGTCCACTCATCCACTCCTCATTCGGTCGTTCTTTCATTCGTCCATTGAGCCATTCGTCATTCATACAATAAGAATGACTTGCACATAATCATTTTATTTCAAAAATTGTAGTAAAAAAGTAATATCATAGATGTTTATGTCACATTTCTACAGGACAGTTGGGATGTCACAACAGTAATGTAAAAATATTAAAAGAAATTGTTAAAAGTCACGTATGGGAATGTAATTTGAGATGTGAGGAAAAACATTCCTTCAGAGTCGCATTCACTGAGCATAAACGCGCTGATCGGAGTATATCGGCGATGAGCAGTGATGTTTTCTTGTATTTCTGTTCCCCATGTTGTGTTCATCGTCCAGGGTTTTGTGACAGGAGGGAAGGATGGCATCGTGGAGCTCTGGGATGACATGTTTGAGAGATGTTTGAAGACTTACGCCATCAAGAGGGCGGCTCTGTCGCCGTCATCAAAAGGTTTCACAGCATTTCTTTCAGTTTTTAGACAAGTTATATATTTGCTTCTGTTCTGTGATTATTTATGCTGTGTTTATTGATCAGGTCTGCTTCTGGAGGACAACCCGTCCATCAGAGCGATCACACTGGGTCACGGTCACATACTGCTGGGAACAAAGAATGGAGAAATCCTCGAGATTGACAAGAGTGGACCCATGACGCTGCTGGTCCAGGTCAGACTCAGTCCTGTATGAAAATAATTGACTTTTAAAAAAAAATTAAAGAATAAAGCCGGTGATTTTCAAATGTTCCACAAATCCACAAAAAGGTCCAAAACACTGAAATTTCCCCATTGAGGGATCAATAAAGTACCTACCTACCTAAAAGTTAAGAATGCCTGTCACTCTTTGGGGTCTCTGAAGCAAGAAAGTTGTCAATCTCTGGCCGCACTGCTCCACTAGCTTCTGCACAACATGCTGGAGCTGTTTGTTGGAAACAGACGGCCTCCCTTGTTTCCTGAGCCACACCGCTGCACTGATGGTGGGGGTTTACTAGCTGGTGGACAACAGTGGAGGTCTACGGAGGAATAAGCTCCAGGGTCTGGACTCGCACACGTTACAGTGAGGACACCACTGGTCTCTGGACAGGGTTTGGTGGAGAATAAGACAAATGTGCTAAATCACTGGTTGCGTCCTTTAATTGACATGTATGTACATTATGTGCTGTAAATTCTGAATAATGTAGCTGAGACCACCTACTGATCATCTGAGACTTCTGTGCAGCAACCAGATCCTTCAAACTCTGATGTCAGAGCATCCTAAACACACTAAACACAGTTTTTTAATGACTGTTGGTCAGATTCACGTCTCTGCAGCTGAGTTCTGAGCTCATCTTAAGCTCTGTAATAAATCATTCCTGTTGTGTGTGTGTGTGTGTGTGTGTGTGGTGTCTTCAGGGTCACATGGAGGGGGAGGTTTGGGGTTTGGCCGCTCACCCTTTACTTCCTGTCTGTGCCACTGTCAGCGACGACAAAACTCTGAGGATCTGGGAGCTGTCAATCAATCACCGCATGGTCGCCGTACGTAAACTCAAGAAAGGTGAGACAGAGGAGACAAAACTTCAGCGTGTTAAAGTATTCTGCTTCCACCAGTTTGCGTGTTACCTATGTTATCTGTCAGGTGGGCGGTGCTGTGCCTTCTCTCCGGATGGTAAAGCTCTGGCAGTCGGCCTGAATGACGGCAGCTTCCTGGTGGTGAATGCCGACACTCTGGAGGACATGGTGACCTTCCACCACCGCAGGGAGCTCATTTCTGACATTCGCTTCTCCCAAGGTACCTGAACTTACCACACAGGGTGAACTTGATTGGTCGGTCAATGATGAGTCACAGTTCTATGTGTTTCAGACACAGGGAAGTACCTGGCTGTGGCATCCCATGATTCCTTTGTGGACATTTATAACGTCCTGACCAGTAAAAGAGTCGGGATCTGTAAAGGAGCTGGCAGCTACATCACTCACATTGACTGGGACTCCAGAGGTGAACACACTCACCAGTACTGATGCTGCGCTATCACACTAACTGTTAACTACAGTAGGACAAGACATCTCACCCTAGCATTATATCAGTCTCTCCAGGTTTAATGTGACAGTTTAGATTTCCAACGTGTCATGGTCACTGCAGAGTGCACAAAGTCCAGTTTCCACAGTGTTTGTCCTGATGTCTTTCTCTGCAGGTAAACTGCTACAGGTGAACACAGGAGCTAAAGAGCAGCTGTTCTTTGAGGCTCCGCGAGGACGCAGACAGAACATAAGTGTGGCCGAGGTTGGTTTTAATTTTTAAATTCTAGGATTTGGTGTTTTTCTATTTCTGTAGATATACATATTTGTTTCTGTGTTTCCAGTTTGAGAAGCTGGACTGGGCGAGCTGGACGTCTGTCCTGGGTCCAACCTGTGAGGGAGTATGGCCGACACTCGGCTTCGTTAATGCCACCTCACTCACAAAAGATCACAAGCTGCTCGCCACCGGAGATGACTTTGGCTTCCTCAAACTGTTCAGCTTCCCGTCCAGGGTGAGACTAACTCAGTCAATGTTTACTGCTCAGGAAAGAAAGTCATGGATATTTACTGACCAAAATTTGTACAAACCCCAATTTCAAGGGGAATTTTACCCAAATCTTGTCTCTTATCGGTTCATGTTTTTTCTCTTTCTGACTTTCTCAACTAAACAATCTGACCTCAGGGCCAGTTTGCCAAGTTTAAGAAGTATGTGGGTCACAGCACCAATGTGACCAATGTGCGCTGGTCTAGTGACGACTCTGTGCTGCTATCGGTGGGTGGAGCCGACACGGCGCTGATGATCTGGACCAGAGAGCCACCAGGCCACAAAGAGAGTAAAGCTGTTGACAGCGAGGAGTCAGACTATGACACTGAGGAGGACGGAGGTAACAGTCCAAACAACAACATTCAGAGACTGTAGGAACTATTTACCGACCTAAAGGGGCTAACTGCAGACACCTTGACGTCTGGTTGTTGAGGTTCTTGATGCGGCAGTCTGGGAGCTAGCTATAGACTTTTGAGGACTGACCACAGAGGTGGGGAGACTGACTCAAGGGCTCTGGGGGGACTAGATGCACAATTCTTAAAACTTGCTGCAGGTGTGTGAGTACTAGTTTCAAAGATCAGAGGACTAGTTCAGGACCAGCCAGCTCCAGGAAGATAAGGAGCAGACAGATCTAGAAGGACGAGCACTAGAAAGGTCTGGACAGATCCAGGAGTCCGAGGACAGTGAAGGTAGTGTTTGCTGAAGCGTGGAGCAGAGTGCCCTGTCTTGGATCCAGACTTTTCTGGAGAAGGGTGGTGGATAAGGTAAGAAGAGATACAGGAAGTCTGCGGCTCTGGACATAAACCTCTTCCAGAACCCTCACAGGTAGCTGACAGAGTGGCCTGAAGGTGGACCAGAAGGAAACTGTTGTATATCATACTGTTGTTGTGGTTTCAGGGTATGACAGTGATGTGGCCCGGGAGAAGGTGGTGGACTATGTCACCAAGGTCTACTCTGCCAGCATCAGGAACATGTCAGGAACCAAACCTCACCTGCAGCACAAAGAGCTTCCTGTGGAGGACAGGTAACACAGTCTCATAATGACACTGACTGGATCCTCAAAACTAGGTGGATTAGATGAGTCAGATACGTAACTGAATACGTATGTAGATACAATAAATAATACTGATATCTAAATCATTAAAGTGGAGTGGATGACTCTGATCATCCTAGGACACAATTTATGTCACACCTTTCTGTTTTCCCCAGGTAACATTTCCCACGACACAGTCATTTACAAGTATTGTCCTAATTTTGATATTTGTCCCTGTTTGACCTCCTGTCCAGGCCTCCTGTGAGTCGAGCCGCACCTCTGCCAGACAAATTGCTGAAAAACAATGTGACCAAGAAAAAGGAGGTGGTGGAGGTCGGTACAAGTCTCCACCATCAGCAGGCGTGTCGTTGGTATCGTCCACTGTCACATGATTTTACTTCAAACAGCTGATTGTTCGGTTTTCAGGAGCTGGTGCTGGAGCACGTCTTCGGGTACAGAGGCTTCGACTGTCGCAACAACCTGCATTACCTCAATGATGGCGCCCACATCATCTTCCACACCGCTGCTGCCGTGATCATCCAGAACCTGTCTGCCAGTCGGTGATGCTCTTATAGTCTGAGCTGCTCATTTTAAATGTTGTTGTTGCCATTTGTGACGTCTCACTTCCTGTCCTGACAGGAACTCAGAGTTTCTACCTGGAACACACTGACGACATCCTTTGTCTGACCATCAATCAGCATCCAAAATACCAAAACGTCATCGCTACGGGACAGATCGGTGAGTCACAGAGCAGGAGGCTGGAGAAGATGTCTGAGCTCATATCAAGCTTCTGCTGAAATGAAAGCACATGTGCCTGATAACGTCTAATGTGGAAAGCGCTGTCAAGGAAGTCTTCAAATACTACAAAAAATTGTTAGACTGTAAAATGTAGGAGGCTCTTAACAGACACATGTAGTGGTGGATCTCTGAGTGTGTTGAGGGGCTGAAAAAGACCCCTGAAAAAGCTACTTCAGTACAGTAACATAGTATTTGTACTTCATTATTTCCCACCTCTGCTGTCCATTCACACATTCACATGAAGAACATGCTGCTTAACCTTTTGGTGTCCTTTGCTCTTGATGTGTAGAGGCTGAAGTGTCCGGTGAGTATCAGCTCCAGAATCCGGTTTCAGCTCTGATCCTGTTTGTAGCTTGACTGAGGGGAATGAAACCAGTCTGTTTAGGATGTTATTGCTGTGGTGTCCCTTTTTAGTCTTTTGTTTCCCATAGTTTGGTTTTAATAATTTTATGTCCTCCCAACAATATGACAGGTGGTTTGGATGTGATTTATTTTCTGACAACTAGACTTAACCCAGATCAAACTACTGAAATTGCACAGACGTCAGATGAAGCATGAAGCATGTAGCATGTGTGATTCTGACAAAAAATTAGGTCGGGATATTTTTGGGGATTTTGTTGATAATGAGAAGCAGACAATATTTTGCATCCTTCAAAACTGTGTTTGTCTTCTACTGTGCTAGCTTGCTCTTGTTAATAGGGGTGACTGTGGTTCAGTGGGTAGAGCGGTCGTCTCCCGGTCGGAGGTTCGAATCTCAGTGCCTGCAGTCCATGTCTCGAAGTGTCCTTGGGCAAGACACTGAACCCAAAAGTTGCCCCCGATAGTTAAAGCCATCGGTTGAGTTGGCGCCGCAGATGGCTGCCTCGGTTCTGTACCGTGTGCCTCAAATAAAGTGTGTGTGTGTGTGTGTGTGTGTGTGTGTGTGTGTGTGTGTGTGTGTAACATACTCGCTAGGTTTTATTTATTTACCTAAAACTGAGGCATTCAAGTAACACAACACACAAACAATGAAATTACTTTTGCAAAATGATTCTGCTGAGGTTTGCTGAATGTGTTTTTGTGCTGGGACCTTGGCTGGTTCAGTCCCCTAATGCCTGTCTCGCCCTTCAACCCCTGAATCCTATCTTGTTCACCTTGGAAATCAGCGTCTCCCCTCCTTGGTTCCTTTGTTTCCATTTCAGCTTGAGTGCAGTAGTTCTATTCCCTAACAAGTTTCCTCTGGGGCCCTTTAAGACCTTAAGTCCTTGATTTCTTAGGTTCCTGAGGCCCTTGTTTGCTCAATACCTTGGTTCTTCAAAGCATATTTGTTCCACAGTTTTGGCAGCCTCTGTTCCTTTGTGCCATGACTCTGTGGATCTTAGGTTCTTTGGTTCCTTAAATCTCTGTTGTGACAGTTGCAAGGATGCAAAGAACATCAGCTGATCAACACTTCAGTTTCTTCATCCCTAAGTTCCTTGGTTCCTGGTGTGACCTAGGATGTTGCACCTCAAGAAAACCCACCCACACACATTTAAAATCAGTAATAGGACAAGATATCTCACTGGGAATAAATGTTTAAAACACAAAAGTCAACAGGTTGGAACCAGCCCGCTCAATGAGCCACAACTAATTTCAATAAACAGAAAACCCCAACACTCTTGGGCAAGGAAACATACCTTCAACTAATGAAACATACCTTCAACTATTAGTATGGTTTTCCTGCCCTGTACACCATCAGACCATTAAATACTGCTCATACACAAACTGAATGCCCTACATCAGCCCCTTTAAAATGTACCCAGCCCCACCTACAGTCACTGGACCTTCCAATGACTCAAACCCCAGAGCCAGTTCAGGGATTTGATCAGGTGTATAATTTTGAGACTATAGAAGTCATTAAAAGTTGATTTTGTTCCTTCCTACAGAGGAAGATTGAAACTTCGCTCAGAAGTATTTATTTCCATGCCTAACACGGTAGTTTCTCATGGCAGTGTTCAAAGGAAGACTGAAGCTTTCCTGGGGGTTATTTATTTCTGTGATTAACAGGACAGTGGCTTGCATAGGACTACGTGTTCACATGACATAATGTGGGCATGATTTACCCACTGGTTTACTCAACTCAACTCAACTTTATTTATATAGCACTTTACCACAGCACAGCTGACCAAAGCACTTAACATACCATACAAATCTAAAATCATCACATAAAAAGCTATAAACAATAAAATAAACACCAACACTACAGACAGAGTCTCATTCCTGGTCAAACGCCAATGAATACAGGTAGGTCTTCAAGTAAGACTTAAAAATAGACAACGAGGGGGCCTGCCTAATATAAAGAGGCAAAGCATTCCACAGGTTTGGACCCACCACAGCGAAGGCTCTTGGTGCCTCCAGAAGAAGCTGATCAGCTGATCTGAGGCACCGCGACGTGTTATACGGATGTAAAAGTTCCATAAGATAAGATGGTGCCAGCCCATTTAAGGACTTATAAACAAATAAAAGAATCTTAAAACGAACCCTAATGCCTTAAATAGAAAAAAACAGATTTTACGACCGCATTTATCTGGCTCTCCATTTTCAAGTCGGAGTCTATTTTAACACCCAAATCAGTGACCACCAGTCGCACATACTGCCCCAAGAAGTCTACAGGAAGAGGGTCGCCAGATGTATTCTGGCCAAACACTATAACCTCAGTTTTAGCATCATTTAACTTTAAACGACTTAACGACATCCAGCCCTTAATATCGGCAAGATACACTGAGAAAACCTAGGGCATTAGGTCTCAGTGATATCTGATATCCTTGAGTCCTGGGTACTTAATATTTTGGTCCCTTGGATTTTGACCCCTGGTGTTAAACCGTCCTGCCTGCAGTCCAGATCTGTCACCTACTAAGTGAGAAATGTGACACAAGCAGCCCTGAACTGTGGAGCAGTTGAAATCCTGTATCAAGCAGAAATAGGAAAACATTTCTCTTTCAGAACTAAATGGACTCTCCAGTTCCCAAACACTTAGTGTTGTTAATGCAGCACTGTGGCAAACATGCCCATCCTAACTGTTCTGAAACATGTTGCTGGCATCAAATTTAAAAGCAGCTGATTTTTTTCTTTTTTCAAAACACAAAAACATTCCTCTGTTTCAACATTCGACGTGTTGTTTTGTACTGTTTTCAGCTAAATATACTGTAGGTTGGCAGTATGGGACTGGCTCCAGTCCCCCCACCCCCACCCCCCCGCAGCCCTCTGCAGGATTAGCGGTATAGACAATGGATTGATGACTACTGTAGGTTTTAAATTATTTACAGATCATTGTATTCAGTTTTTATTTACATTTTACACAGTGGAAAATGTTCTAAGCCTTTTGACTGGCAGCGTACCTCAGGTCCTCGGGTCCACAGTCCCTTGGGTCCTTAGGTTCTGGACTACTCAATGCCTTGGTGTTTGATTTCTAGGCATCTGGTCTCTTCTCACAGGCCTCACTCCATCCATCCATGTGTGGGACGCCATGACCAAGCAGACGCTGTCCATCCTCCGCTGTCCCCATGCGAAAGGCGTCTGCTACGTTAACTTCAGCGCTACAGGAAAGCTGCTGCTATCTGTAGGAGTGGAACCTGAACACACCATAACAGTGTGGAGGTGGCAGGAAGGTACCAAAGATTTCTCACACTCTCAAATATGTTGATTATTTTAAAAATGTAACCTATGTAGTGACTCTAACATCTAAAAGACAACATTACCAAGGAGTCTGGAGCAGTAGTTCTGTTTTAGTACCTTACAGATTTAGTAGATGCCAGCAGACAAGGAGTGGGTTTAAAGTACCTGGGGAAGATAAGCATAGTAAAACCCAGGGAGAGAATAAAGGTTTAGACAAGAAAACATCATTTTCAAACTGCATAAGTCTAAATAACTTTTGTCTCAGCAGCAAGAAAGTGTGTTCTTTAGGGGACGTAGACAAAAACATTTTTCCAAAGGGTTCTTAATAGTTCAGAGAGTTTCCAGTTCACACCATAAACAAAGGTTCGTGTTCCCGTAGAACCTTTGTGGTGTTTATCAGATACAGTATATACAGACAAAGAAAAGCAAAGCAAACATTACTATGAATACCTTTAGAGGGGTATCCAGGTTGACCTCTGACCCCTACAGGCACCAAGGTGACCAGTAAAGGCGGCCACACTGAGCGGATCTTTGTGGTGGAGTTCAGACCGGACTCTGACACCCAGTTTGTGTCGGTTGGAATCAAACACATCAAGTTCTGGACTCTGGTTGGAGGTTCGCTCATGTACAAGAAAGGTGTGATCGGCTCGGTGGAGGACGGGCGCATGCAGACCATGCTGTCTGTCGCCTTTGGTGCTGTAAGATAAGCACTCACTTTAAAGCTCTTCCCCTGATTCACCTGTGGATTTGTTGTAATTTGGTGTTTGTTTCATCCAGAACAACCTGACGTTCACTGGTGCTATAAACGGAGATGTGTACGTATGGAGGGAGCACTTCCTGGTTCGGGTGGTGGCGAAGGCGCACAGCGGTCCAGTCTTCACCATGTACACCACCCTGAGGGATGGACTTATTGTCACTGGGGGGAAGGAACGACCGTGAGTAGTTAAAACTGCACATGCTTCATTGGGCCTCTCGGCACATCTGTCCTGGTAACTGTGGATGGACATTTGCCAGGGCAGATGCCAGTTTTGGGGACAACCCCCTGGGATCTTTGGCACACCCAAGGAGTGAGCTGGACCACATGTTCAACATCTGTCAGGTGAAGGGTAAAGGGTCAGGTTCAAAGCCAGATCCTGTATAGGACTTTGCTTTCCTGGATGAATTTTTTGACAATAAACGAATGGGAAATGATACATAAGACAGAAACAAAAGTCCAAATTGTGATGTGTGTTTGACAGGACTAAAGAGGGTGGGGCTGTGAAGCTCTGGGACCAGGAGATGAAGCGCTGCAGAGCGTTTCAGCTGGAGACTGGTCAGCCCATGGAGAACGTTCGATCTGTCTGCAGGGGGAAGGTACGAGCAGATCAGATTTCCAAATTTACCATGTATCTGTTACATCGTGGTTCAGGTCCAGCCTCAGACCTTTGTCACATTCTCATCGCACTGCGTCACCATCCCTGTGTTTCCTGTACCTATTATTTGGTAACAGCTGCTGCACATCATCAGTTTTTTTGTCAACAAGGACAACAAATGTGCTTCCATGTGTTGGAAGTTGATGTCCAGCATTCTATACATAAAAGGGCTGGGTGGAGTGGACCATAAGTAGCACATTATGGCAGTTGGCCATCAGTTACTAAGTAGTAACCAGCACTGATTTGACAGTGTCACCGTGATGAGCCTTTTCAGAAAGTTGGCTTCAGCAGTTAATGAAACACACACTGCTACTCATTTTGGTTTTGCCAGGTTTTTGTGAATGCATTTAATATTTCTGCACAGTTTGAAGATGGACACACCATTTTGACGAGCTGAAACCAAATTCCGTGCTTCTTGTGAAATGATCTACTGTTCTGATTTCCGGAGATGGAACGTTAACCTCTGACTTTCTGACACATCTGTTTCATCTCTGTTGATCCAGGGTAAAATCCTGGTGGGAACCAAAGATGGTGAGATCATAGAGGTTGGAGAAAAAAACGCTGCCTCCAACACTGTGATCAACGGACACACTCAGGGAGGGATCTGGGGTTTGGCAACACACCCTTTCAAAGATGTCTTCATCTCCGCCAGTGACGACGGGACCATCCGAATATGGGACCTGGCTGACAAGGTGCAGGTTTGCAGACTGTCGAGGGAAACTCAGCATTGCCACACACATGACCCTGAAGGGGATTAGCTCTAAGCCATGTTTCCTTTCCTTGTTGTAGATCTAGTGTTGATGTGGTACAACATGTTAATCATCTACGCACATGTTCTGTTGTCTTGTGTTAGAAACTCCTGAACAAAGTGACTTTGGGTCTTCCTGCCAAGTGCACCTCTTATAGTCCCAACGGAGAGATGATTTCCATCGGCATGGAGAACGGAGAGTTCATTATCCTGCAGGTCAACTCCCTCACAGTCTGGGGAAAGAAGAGAGACCGCAGCACTGCGATCAAGGACATAAGGTAAGACGTCAGCTTTCAACAGACAGGACATATGGTACAACTTCAGCCTTTAACTGACACAAGCATGAGAACATAGCTGCAGACAAGATGGTGGACCGCCGACCTTCCAGAAGTGGGCACCTTTGCAGGTTTAGGTTAGGGTAGCCCAACTCCGGGAAAATGTCGACATCCTCCTTCCAAAGTTGACAGTGCTCAATCTTGGTCAGAGTTTGCCATCTTTGTCTGCAGACAGGTTCCTCTTGATACAAGGACATCATCCTACATCTACACCTGTGTTGTTCTTCAGTCAACAAAATGTCTTTCTGGTTCAGGTTCAGTCCAGACAACCGGTTCTTGGCAGTGGGCTCAGTTGAAAGTGCTGTGGATTTCTATGACCTTGCTCTGGGGCCGTCCCTCAACAGGATCGGTTATTGTAAGGACATTCCGGGCTTCGTCATCCAGATCGACTTCTCTGCTGACAGCAAACACATCCAGGTCAAAAAGACAAAAAACCTACAGCCACTCTCTTAGTGAATGTTGACATATGAACTAAGTTTGATAGCAGATGCAGGTTTGATTGCTGTCAGTGGTTTTGGTGCTGTGACCTCTGGCCTTTTACTGAAGACTCTGTGCAATGTTACAGGTGTAGCAGCTTTTCTACTGTTGAGCATCACACGTCAGTGAATTCGTTAAAAATAAAACTTCCTCCATTTCTATTCCAGGTGTCCACCAGCACCTACACTCGCCAGGTACATGACATTCCCTTAGGGAGGATTGTGACAGAGCAGTCCATCATTGAGAGGATCACCTGGGCTACCTGGACCAGGTGAGACTGCTTAACAGTGCTAAGTGTATGTAAGCTTGGGGAACATGCTAAATGGTATAGGGGGAGTACTGTATGTCAGGAACATATAAAGATTTTAGGAGTTCCTGTGCACACGCACGGTGAGCGGTATTGGAGGTGCACACACTATTTACCAGCTATATCTTATAACTGTAGATAAACTAGCAAAAACTATTCGCTTTATTCAAGGGACTGTCCAGATTGTAATCGCTTCTTAACAGACCGTAAAAGCTACAGGAAGTAACTGTATAGATTTTGACAATAAGTTGATAATGAGTTAAGGGAAGAAGCAGCTCCCTGGAAGGCAGGCCAAATAGGAAAGGTTCAGGGTCTCTCTTGAATTTGATATTAAATATCCTCTCTGGAAACGTTTGCATTCCCAAAAGCAGTGGAAGTATGTTCCCCTATTAGACAGAAAAGCACAATAAGTAAAATAACAGGAGTTGGATGTTGCATCTCCCTCAGTCTGTTACATGTAGATTTAAGCAAATCTGTAGCTCCTTGCCAGTGAGCTTCATCATATCCATGATAGAAATCCTTTTCCCATTTACAGGAAATATTCAGCAGCTCATACAGTGAAGAACAGAGGAGTGAATAAAAGGATGATATAAAATGCTGTTTTTGTGCTCAGTAACGAACCTTTCTGCATCACTGAGAGGGAAAAAACAAAGCCTAGTGCAGAGGGAACCAAACAGAGAGTCTCAGGAACATACTGTGGAGCTGCAGAAACATAGAGGAAGGCAGACGGACCGGCCAGATCATTTTACTGTGTGTTTCTAGCATCCTGGGCGACGAGGTTCTCGGTGTTTGGCCTCGTAACGCTGAGAAGGCCGACGTCAACTGTGCGTGTGTTTCTCATGCCGGCTTCAGCCTGGTGACCGGGGATGACTTTGGCCTCATCAAGCTCTTTGATTTCCCCTGCTCTGAAAAGTTTGTGAGTGAACTTGCAATAAATCCTCGGTGTCTTCTGAAACTTGTTGAGCTGAGCCTCAAACAGATAATGTGATATCTCTGTCACTGGGCATTTGAAAAAGCCTCTTTACACCTGATCATCTGATCTTTTTGCAGGCAAAACACAAGCGTTACTTCGGTCACTCTGCTCACGTGACCAACATTCGCTTCTCCTGTGACGATAAATACGTCATCAGCGCCGGTGGCAGTGACTGCAGGTGAGGTATTAGAGGAGGTGGTCCATCAGTGTGGCGTCACAGCACTGAGAACAGAGGAGGACCTATAGACATAAGGACCATCATAAGAGCTGTTTGAGTCTAGTTTTGGTTTTAAGGCTCTTAATGGTTTGGCTCCATCTTACTTCACTGAATTAGTGCACTGGCACAAACCTACCAGGTCCCTCAGGTCTTCAAGCCAGTTTCTTTTAGAGGTTCCAAGGACCAGATATAAACACTGGGGTGACCGTGCTTTTACTGTTGCAGCCCCTAAACTGTGGAATAGTCTACCTTTTAATGTTAGGTCAGCTACTGACCTCAGTACTTTTAAATCGTTGCTTTAAACTTATTTATTTGGCTTTTAATGCACAGTAGGGCCTGATGCCTTCCTTTTAATCTAATTTATTATCTGTGTGTCTGAGTTATTGTTTTATTTTTGCACTGAATCTATTTTATTTTAGTTATTTATTCTTTAGTGATTTTATTCTGTATGTAAAGTACTTTGGTCAACTGGATGTTTTTAAAGTGCTATATAAATAAAGTATTGACTTATTTATTATTCATGGCCCTGCATGCACACACAGTTACAGAAAAGCACACATTTAAAATCAAAGAATCAAAACAAAACGTTTTCACACACACACTTGTATTCTACAATAAAATATTCTCACTTTAAATTTAGCTCAAACAATTTTTCCATATTCAGCACGATGACACAAAAGCACCCAGACAGGTGGTGACCAGGTGGAGCCCAGTGAAGTCTCCAGAGAGTTTTTTCCTTTTTGTTTGGACGTCAGCTGACTCACTTCATCTCCACATTAACTCTTGTGCCTTTGTTTGTTGTCTCCCCTTCAGTTTGTTTGTGTGGAAGTGTCAGTGAGGTCTCCACAAACCTCTGGAGTCCACCTGAGTCCTCCACCACTCTCTTCTTCTTCTCCTGTGATGCTGCGCTGTCCTGGCATTTTGGACCCACGGCCTGACATCACACAGGACAGGATGTCAAACAAACGGCGTGAGCATCTGAACCTGCAGCCGTGTGCTGAACAGTCAGAGGGTCTTTTATTGTGACAGATTTTCTTGAACATTTGGATGCTTTTAATGTGAAAAATTGTTTATATTTGAGGTTCCTGTGTTGTTAAATTCGTGGACGTGAGAAAGTGGCGTTCTTCAGTGGTAGCAGTGTCTCTTTGTCAGTGCCTTTTTCACCAACTCTGACCAAACACTCAAGTTTCTTGATAATCGTGGTGCTATGACGTGATTGTTTAGGGCCGTCACAGATAGGGAGGAAGAAAACTGCCCTTGTTGTTTGTTCTGTGATGATGATGATGATGATGATGATGATGATGCAGTTGTACTTCACTGCACTAAAATGAAGTAACAGAAAGATGGATCTGTGTTCGATCCCACTTATTAGAAAGCGTGAAAACAAAATAATTTGAAAAAACTTGTTTAAAAGAATTCTACCTCAGAAAACAGTAGAAACTAAATCATAGTTAAACAGTATTTAAGGTAGAAAGCAGATGTTTAATGGAATCAAATATTGATTGATCAGAAATGACAGTGAGGACGACTCATGGATATAGACACCAGATGCGGATATAAATCTATGGGGACGACTTTTATTTCCGTTCTGTCCACATGATGGCATTTTCTCTGTTGTAGGAGCAGCATGACAAAAGTGAACGTACTTATTAAAGAAAAGCTTCTTGTTATAATAAAAACATTGCTGTTTTATGGAGATCCGTGTTTAGATTATAAAGAGATTTTTCACGACTTATTTTCTTCTTCTTACGAGATACGGTTTATTCCTTTCAGAGCAGAAGCTTTTCTCCTTAGAAGAACTTGATCCTGTTGAACTAACTTAATTACAGGTTCATTAAGAGTCGTTTAAACAACAGCACAAGCTAATGTTGGTACAGTGCTACAACTACAACACTGTTTTGCAGTAAAATGTGTAGTCTGAAATGTAAATGTAAATGAAATGTAAATGTTTAGCTGAAATGTAAACAGAGGGCACTAAATGTCTGGCAGATTCAGTTTCCTGTGGATGCACATGAGCTCTTCTAATCTCTGTGTCATGTGGAGTTCAGGGTGATGTGTGTTCTGGAGAGTCTCGTCTAAAACAAACGTTTACCGTTGTACAGGAAAATATTCTGTTGCTGAGAGTGTGACGACATCAGTTGTCATCAGCAGAATCAAAGTAAAAACACTGGTGTACACAGTGACTCCTCTGAGTGGCTTGTTCATTCACTACTGGACCAATATCATGCTTTTTATCGTTTACTTTTGGTGTGTTTTTATAGTGTAACTTGTTGTTGGTATCTGGAGAGGTACTAAATATCCAGTGGTGCTACAGGTGGCAACGGGACTGGACCCAAATTTAAATTGTGATCATTATTAACAACTACAGGAACCTCAGGCAGGTCCAGATGTCACCTGTAGCACAGCTGGATCCACAGGGACTGAGAATCTTCACTCTATACACAAAAAACGTAAAATAAAATAAAATGTATATCAATGCACTGAGTAGCATTTTAATGCAGCTGCCCTATCCCTAGGCAGTTTACTTTATAACAATGCTTAATATTTTATTTTTTAATAAGATATATTTGTAACGTCATAATGCCCAAATTAATTAAGGTTGCAGTGCAGTAAACATTTTAACTTTTCTGTATTCCAATGGGACATGTGGTGAAGTAGAAAATAAAAACAACATAACATGAAGTGGTAAAGTGCCTCAAAGCTGTAGGTTAAATAATTACCACCTCGGGATTGAATGCAGGAAGAACTGAGGCGATTATTTTCATGCAAAGACGATGATGAACTCGTTAAGTAATTCAAACAGCAGCACGTGTCGCACCTGAAAACGCAGGTTACGAATACCTTCACAAACCAAAGACGTTGTTCCTCTCCGGACCAGCAGGGGGCGGCGGCTCCCACCGATCCTGACTGTCATGGCGGCGCCCAGTCAGAGGCTTATTTCACGGTGAAACTAACACAGATGAGCGCTTTACTTCAGGATGACCTGATAGAACAATCACACTTGTGTCAGGTAACAAAGTGGGCCAGGATCAGAGTTCACCGAAAACCAGGTTCCTGTCTTCCTTCAGTTTTAACGTTACACTTCTAAAAGAAGAGGAACCGCCTGTTCTGTCTAACTCGGACAGCTCTGTCGTGGTTACTGCGGCACACCAAACTTTACTGAAAAAGGTTGTTTTAGGTCTGTGCGGTAGCAGTGCGTGAACCAGCTACCGCGCTTTTTAATCAATGTTTGGGTCTAATGTTATTGACAGATTCGGCGTTGATAGAATTCACCAGACTATTTCAGATGTGGTTCAGTTTCTTCATAGCGTTTCGCCTGTGACAGGAACCTGTACGGCTTCATTAAACTTGTAAACGGTGTCTGTTACCGGATATATTTGTCATATTTATCAGAATGAGGAGTTTGCGCAGCTGAAGTCGTCGTTATCTACTAAGCACCTCTCCTAGTCTCCTTGTTCCACAGGCCAGTAGATAAAAGCCAAACGTTGTTTAAAACTAAGGCATTATAGTTAATATCAAAAGAGGTCACCCAAGGTGTTTTAAAGCACTGTAAGTTGCTGCCTGTTCATTCCAGATTTCCCGCTTCCTCTTGCAGTAAACACTGGTGCTTTTTCAAAATCGTATGTTTTAGACCATGTGTACCTGTGAGTGAGTCCCCCGGTGTTGACAGAAGCAGATTTTAAAGGATGAGGCTGGTCGTTTTCTATATTAGCAGTATTTTTAAGAGCCCCCACACTCAGACTAAGGCTGTGTCCGAAACCGCATACTGTGACAATACGTCCTGAAAGAGATGAAGTACCTACTTACTGACCGTTAAAACAAGTTGTTTCAGCAAGTAACAGTACAAAGGAGGCAAAGGGCAGCTGCTCGCAGAGCAAGGCTTCATAGGCAGCTTATGAATAATTTACTGCATAATGTAAGTATCTATTAGTATTTAGCAAGTAAATTCCATGGGGGAATGGCTGTGTGTCTTCTTCGTTGGATAACTCCTCTCCCGGGGCATCATGGGATAGTGAAGTGTCCATTGTATGCACGCTGCAAAATCCAACCGGAAGCAGTAGGTCATCCAAGTACTTTTCGCCTACTGTTTTTGGAATACTACGAATCCGGACATACTACTCGCCTCGCCTACTGCTTTTCGCCTACTATACAGTATGGTAGTAGGCGGTTTTGGACGCAGCCTAAGACCAACAATGCTTCATGATTAATGCCAGTCAGTCCTGGAGCAGCTTGTTCATCTGTGCCACAGAGCTCCACTGTTGTACAGGAACAATTAACATCAGTGCAACACATGTGGCATGTTTCTGCACTACTAAACACCAGACCCTGATAGTTGTTAAGAATATCCAGAGATCTCATGTGTGCACATTTGATTCTTGCTAACTTCAGATGCTGTAGAAAGGTATGACCATTCAGAGCCATTCAGGGGCAAAATATCAGGGTCTGGTGTTTCATAATGAGGAAACGTGTTGATGTGACAACGTTGTTTTTGAAAAACAATGGACGAATAAGCTGATCCAGGACTGACAGGCATTAAATGTGTGTATGGGGACTGTGGACTGACCTTATTTTTAACAGCACCGACTTAAAGTAACAAACTCCTGTCTCACCTGTCCAGGACACTGCAGGTATGAATGTGATGTCATCAATGATACGTGGAGCCAGGAGGCTTGTCCATGCTGACCCAGTTCTGCTCAGCAGGTTCCTGTCTCCGCCCCTCCTCTGTCGTGCTCAAAACCCCACCCTCCTGCTCACCTGTCAACACAACAGAAAGTACGCCTCCAAACAGGTGAGTCTGTAGGTGAATCCCAACCTCAGCTTCATGTCAGTTTACTGAAATGTGCTAGAAAGCCAGGTGTGTGAATGTTGTGATTTCAGGCAGTAGCTAATAATGAATATCGGACAATGGGTTGTCTGCACCTCCCGTGGGCCCACCACCTGCAGGAGGATTGGGCAGCAGTTGAAGGCAGGGACCCCAACGACCCGATCTCTGGACACCGAGACTAGCCCTGGGGACATGGAATGTCACCTCGCTGGTGGGGAAGGAGCCCGAGCTTGTGCAGGAGGTTGAGAGGTACCGGCTAGATATAGTCGGGCTCACCTCCACGCACAGCTTGGGCTCTGGAACCTTACTCCTCGAGAGAGGCTGGACTCTACTACTCTGGAGTTGCCCACGGTGAGAGGCGACGGACTGGTGTGGGCTTGCTCATAGCTCCCCAGCTTAGCCGCCATGTGTTGGAGTTTACCCCGGTGAACGAGAGGGCCGCTTCCCTGCGCCT